ACGGTCCAGATGTTTTTGTTCTCGCTCTACCGTATCTGTTAAAGTCCCCGCCTCCAGGTAAGAAATGGTCACCCTCATCTCATATGTGACCCCGTCTCTTCTGCACCTGCTCTCTGCCCGGTCCCTGGCCTCTGTGATTGCCAGCTGCAGCCCCCCGTCGGTTCTCATTTCTTCCTCCTTCCCTCCTTCCACATTCACCTTTAGCCTAAACTCTCGATTACAACGGCTATAGTCCAGTATAGCTGTCACCGTGGGCCCTTCCCCTGACATCCGCTCCCACCTCCAGGTGTACTGGAGGTGCTTCGGCCTATAGCCGTACAATCCGTTGCTCCGGACCATTGTCGAGTCTCCTCACGAGCAGGTTGCACAGGACCCGGTTACCGGCTGGTGTTCTGAGCTTGCACACATAAGCAAGTCCGCGAGCTCACTCCACCTGCTCGGCTCTTTCTCACCGTGCCCCGTGTAACGAGACTGCCCACGCCTAAGTAGCAATCGGTAGATCCCCTTCTCTTTTTATAGGATCATTACTCATCGCGATCCCCGTGCTTCGAGTGAGAGACCCAAGTAACTCTCATAACTTTGCACTTTTAATCGATTAAATTTTTAAATTTAATAAAATGCGATAAACGAAACAAAAAAAATGGAAGGAAGGACGAGTGATATGACACCAACGGTCATAGCACCGACTTCAATTATCAATCATTAAAACGCTTTTGCTCAGGCATGAAAGTGACCCGCAAACCCAGCGCGACGGTCCCATAACGGGATACCGACGGATGCTCGTTCTTCTTTAAAACCTGCAGTCGGTCTACTTCTATATGGTGCCCCTCTCAGATGGTAAGGAAGGGGCTTATGACCTTCCCTAGCGGGTGATAAGTCTCCTACCGAAGCGGCCATGGGTTGCCCCTCTTTTGGGGTCCCATCGTGCGGCGCTTCGCAAGGCAGATCATTCAGGAGAATAACCAAAAGGCCAGGCCCATTTAGGCCTCCAGACAGCGATCAAGGTTCGAAAATGAACCGTTGGCCTCCCCCGCGAAGTGACGAAGACCAAAAGAAAACCGCGTTTGAGAAATTGGTAAAAATAATAATAATAATAATAATAATAGTAGAGGGAAAATGAAAACTCAGCGATAAAGTGGCCAGATGTCGCTGGATTATCCCGAATTAAAGCAAGGGCCCTGATCTGTGTGTTGCTAAGACGCTTAGCTTTCTTTTCACTTTTACATATTTTGCTTTATTTTATTTCCTTTGTTTAGCCTTTTCCTTTTGACAGTGACTGCAGATCAAAGCAGAAAAGACTGGGCCCTCTACCTTCACGTCCCTGGTCGTGTCCAGTGACTACCCAGGCCACATGTCTATAGTGTCTTACCGTAGTTGAACACCAAACCTGCGCGGAGCAGTGGAAACTCCTATGTTAAGCACGGCCTGGTACCGCTGGTACATAGCTAGCTCACGCAGACCCTAAGAGGTCTTCATACCAATGACAGGCGAAGTAGTGGTCCCTCTGAGCAGGCATTAGGTACTCAGCGGCCCGTCGGAACACTGTGCCCTCCGACAACGGGGTCGGGGGTGGGGCCAAGCGGGGTGCAGGGCCGAGGATGGTTGGGAGCGGGGGCGGAGGTGTGGGG